TAGAAAGAAACGAGGAAATGACATATCTAATACAACAGCAAGTAATAGGTGAGGCTTTTCTTTTACTTGCTCTTGATCCAATATAGTTGACATAAGATGGTGGCCATGTTCCTGACATAGCCTAAAACACATTTGACAAACTGAAGCCACGTTGGCCAAATGTGGCAAATTAGCATTTTATGTGGCTCATGACAGCTTCAAAGTTGTATTAATGTCCTAAGCATATGCTGCTTTAGCATCAGCACTGACCATAACTACACCTCCCATAATGCACGTCAAGTATTTTATCCACAAAATGACGACATTGACGTTGACCCAACATTGGGTGGAGGAGCACAGGGTTGAAAAGTAGCCGGTAGTCGGCAGCCAGCAAAATTCATCTTGTAAAATTTCCATTTGGCTGCATTTACAACAGATATTTTTGCTGCGGCACAGTTGTACTGGGAAGTGGGAATTTCCCACTTACTTAAATCTAAATTATAGATTTAAACTGGAACGCCCCTGCAGTGGGAGTTCCCCATCAGAAAGTGGGAGAGTTCTAAATTCAGGATGGCTGCTACTCGCCACAACTCAACAGTGGGTAAAACTGAAATCATGTGCCATTATTTATTTAATATTTAATTACAAGTACAGGTAGCATTTTTCAGTGTTTTACAAGAGGACATGTTAAAACTGTGTTTCTATGCAGGAAATACCATGTAGGTCTCAGTTATTGTTTGTTAAGGCTGGTTCATACTTCAAGTTGCACGTCTTGCTCTCCCTACTGAGTGACAAAAAATCGTGCAGCTCCYGTCTGCTATCCCCCAGTGACAGCTGTCATCATGTGCCTTGTCAGAACTTTTTGCTGCTGCTCTTCTTTCTGCACATTATTTTGCTGAAAACAAGCCGGAATCAAGCTTACAGAATTCTTCCCTTCTTAAAATGTGAACAATCCTGCAAAAAAGTCTTTCAACTGACAAATGATGGCAGGATTTTCTCACATGTTGTGTGTTTGAAAATATTTTAAATATGTACAGTAAAATGTGTAAAAAACTGGTGAGGAGAATTTACTGTGCAAGATTTTTGGTACCACTTTACAATCAAGCTCCCCTTGGYCACTAAAGAGTTTATAGATAGGTTATTAATTCATTTGAAAAGTTTACACTTCGTAAATCATTAATAAATGAAACTGGACAATTTTGTCTCTTTCTCATCCTTGCATAATAAACACTTATAAATTTTTAAAAAGTGTTTATAGATTAATTAATAACCTATCTATAAACTCTTTAAAAGTCATCTATAAGGGGAGCCTTACTGTAAAGTGGTACCTTTTTAAAAAAAAATTACATTACATTACAAGTGTTTGAAGTGTAAAATGTATACACTGGGAATTTGTGTGAAAGGATGTTGAACAAAAACTTGGCCCCTCTGTGAATGTTGTGGCCCCTTGATGGCCCCTTACTCAGAAAAATCCTAGATCTGCCACTGGTTGCAGCTCTTTTTTTGTGTGTGTTTTTTGGTTGCAGCTCATTTTAGATCAGATCTATGTTTTGACATGTTTCGACTCCTGAACTGATGCTTAAAAAAATGCCTTTCAAGTTCTTTTAATATTGCCAATGCTCAGACTGCTTCTGACTTGTAATAAATGAACGAAAGGCAAAGTGCTCATTTCGGGGGCATCAGTTTGTAGTTTTAAATAATAATAAAAATTTCTTCTGTTTAAAAATTAGCTGGATTTTGTTTTTCATGCACACAGAGCCCAAGTTCACTGAGCTGAAACGAGGCGACATAATGTGACCTAACATGTCAGGTGGCTGTAGTCTCAATGTAAGACAACCAAAACACGCGATCATTCCTCAGCCACACTGGAATTTAGGAGAACAAACGTCAATCAGAGCTTGACTTCATGCAGGTGGACGTGTGGGTTCACTAAGAGAACATGTCTTGTGTCACACAGGCATGAAGCCAGCGATAATGTACACAAATGTATCCGTTACACAAGAGACGGTTGAAGAGGCTTCGGTCTCTGTAGTTCCAGCACCATGGACAGAGTTCTGATCTCTCAAGCAGTCTGTGGTCAGGTTTCCTCGCTGTGGTGGAGGGTTAGGTTTTATTCAGTGATAAAGATAAATGTTTTATCTTTTACAGCATAGTCAGCTGATAACACTATGAGTGACTTTTGGCAACGGGAATGAAGAATGGCTTCAATAAAACAAAAAAAAAATCATCATAAAATGATGTAAATGATCCTTTGGCTATGTATAGACTTCCTGTTGCTCACTGAATAAGTGTTTAAACTTGAGGATAACAAATTAAAAGGAGAAGTGATGCAGAGTTTTGCCACACCTGGCAGAAGAACACCTAACTAATTACGGAAGTTTTTATGTTGTAGAGAGATTATATGTCATATTCCAGGCCCACGGGCCAAATGTGGCCCCTCAAGATATATTATGTGGCCTGCGAGTGTAAAAAATGTATTATTGTCCTAAAATAAGTGTATGTTGCCTTAAAGTCAGCACTGTCCATAAAAACTACATCTCCCACAATGCATGCTGAGTATTTTACCCATGAAATGAAGACATCACATCACAATTGTTATTTCTATTTACACTGTATAGACGATAAAGAATGCTCATTGTTCTCTGTGTTCATTTGGTTCTCCAGAGTTTTTATACTTATTTCTTCCTTGTGTGCTCTAATATTTCTTCCTTTATACTTTATCCCTAATGCTTACTTGAACGGTTGCAGCTGTAATAATTGCAATTTCCCTCCGGGGATCATCAAAGTATTCTGATTCTGATTCTGGGTGGATGTCCACAGGGTTCAAAAATAGCTGGCAGGTGGCAAAACTCACTGTGTAAAATCTCTATTTTGCTGCATTTTTGCTGGATCCAGTTGTTGCTGTCCACTTGTACTGGGAAATTGGAATTTCCCACTTACAAGTCAGAAATTTAAACTGGAGCACCTCTCCAGTGGGAATTCCTTGTCGGAAAGTGGGAGAGTTCAGAATTCAAGACAGAAGCCACTCATCACAACTCAACAGTGAGTAAAACTCTCTTACCTTTACTTTTAATAGTATTTCTGTATTTTTATTTCACATTTAGTCAGTTGTACACGTAAAAYKTTTCAGTCTTTRTAAGATGACATGTTAAAACACTGTTTCCATGCAGGAAATACCACGTAGAGCTCAGTTATTGTTCGTCAGTGGTGCTCAGCTGGAGCAATGAGACAAGGAATGTGACGTTTTGTGTTTAGTTACAGTTAAAGACAAAATGTTAAAGTTAATTACAGCTGGCTCTTTGAGGGCCACCATRATGCTCATGCGGCCCTCGGTGCTTTAGACAGAAGCCTGACGAGATTTAAATGAAATGCAGTCGTCAGCGCTACTGAATGTTTATCGGATGACAAACGAGTCGTCTCTTGCAACAGTTTTCTTCCTGACCCCCGCATGACCTCCCCACATACCCAGGTGTGCAGTGCAAGGGAGCAGAGCTGAACGCAGGGTGACAGTGGATTTTGCTGCCGTCTCACAACCCCCCTGATTTACAAAGTGCTGCATTCTTCCCACAGATCCTTGCGATAACACGGTCGGCGCTGCCTTTCTGAGAGCAGGTGAGCTTTTCGTCGATGTGAAGCGGAGAATTCCTGAACCATTCGTCCATGTCAGTTCTCCTTTTCATCTCTAAAACTGTGCTTACTTGTCACACAATTGAATCACACATGTTGCTTAATGCGACTTACGCTCTGAGTTACTCCTCTCATGAAGCTCGCTGAGTGGAGGCTTTGCTAAGGCAAACAGAGAAAGTTATAAACCAGAGCTTTTTTTTATCTTAAATGGAAAAACTTTATCAAAAACCGCATCAAACTTATTAATGTGAATAATGGACCAGCATTTATATCATATCTTTCCTGCTTCTCTAAGGGAAGAGAAGTTTATATATATATATATATATATAAACACCATAGTGTGTTGCATTTGTTAATATAATATGTTTTGCTTTGTTTTTCCCCTCATCTTCTCTTGGGTGGTTTTTAGTTATTCTGTAAAGGGTTGTGTCTTCATGCATGATGTCTTCATGATGATGATCCTTGTTCTGTGCAGTCTGTGGCTGCATGACCCAGAGTACCTGTTCTCCTATGTTTCTCATGTTCTGTCTTCTTGTGAATGGGTGTTCTGAACTGTAATTTCATTGTGCTCTCTGTACAATGAGTCACAGTTTTAGTGTCTGTGTCTATCTTATCTTATCTTAACTGTTTTAGCATACTCTGTTCTATTTTAGCTATTTATACATCAAAACATTCGGCACGTTCAGGAGATACAGTAGGTGCTGGGATGTTTATACTTTTAAAACATGTTTAACTTTTTTACAGATATTTTCCCCAAAGAAATATCCATGAATTCATTCAATAACATTGTTCTTTTCACTTTTAGCTACCATTTTGCCATTTTACCTTTTAGCAGACCTTTGGCTACTTTTGGTCTTTAGCTACTGTTTTGCACATTTTAGTTTTAACACTGCCTTTTGCTACTTTTTGTTTTTAGTGATCATTTAGGTACTTTTAGCCAGCCTTGTGCGACTTTCGGTCATTTTGCTACTTTTGGTCTCTAACTACTCTTTTGCTATTTTTTAGCTTTCAGCCAGCATTGTGCTAATTTTGGTCTTCAGTTACTATTTTGCTATTTTTAGCTTTTAGCCAGCCTTTTGCAACTTTTGGTTTTAAGCTACATTTCTGCTGTTTTTAACTACTGTTTTCTACTTTTATCTTGTAAGACATCCTTTTGGACCTTTGAACTTTTTGCTGCCATTTGTCTAATTTTACCTTTTAGCCTAGCGCTTTGCTTCTTTTCACTTGTTTAGCTTCAAGCTAACCTTTTTCTGTGTGAAGCTACTTTGTTTTTTTAGATTTTAGCCAGTGTTTTGGGTTTTATTTTAAGCGTCAGCAATTCAGTTTTAGTTTCCAGCAGTTATTCAGCTGCTGCAAGCAGCATTTTTTTTTTTAGAAAATACAAATTATTTTGTTAAATAGTAACTTTTATTTCTTTTTGCATACCGTTTCAAACAGAAACAAAACAAAATCAAACCATTTCAACCACTTCAAAGTGAAAAGTAATATATTATCTCTAAAATACATAGAACATTTTGATTAAACAATAGATGTATGTCAGAAAACGTAGTATTTGTGTTTACAGTAGGCTTCTCTTTCCACCGGAGCTGTCCAGGTTGTCCTTTCAGCTCCTGAACTCCACACAGCCGGAGTTAAAWATAACCTGGTAGTATTTCCTGTCAGCTGTGATCCACCACTCCTGTTTCCATCATGTGCCTGCAGGCTTTCATCACATTCTCCACCTTTGTATTTGCAGGTAAAAAACCTGGAGCTACTTGTGGCATCGCGGCCTTCCTGGATCGGACGCATCTCTTCGYAGCCCTTTTGTTTTCCCTCCTCCTCGTGGAAAGGAGTGTCATTTGTTCAGGTGCTCGCGTGCTGCTCYCCTTCTGTTTCTCTTTCCTTCTTACTGCTTCAGCAGCTCCGTGGCTCATCAGGCGATTTTCCTCTGAGCCTGGGGAGACTGGTCCCCGTCCGACCTCTGAGCTTCGAGGGCTTTCTGGGACTTCTTGGCCRCAGCTCTATGGGGCAAAAAAGACAAACAATAAATTAATAAATGCGTCAACGTTTGAAGTGCAATAAGATGTGATTTAACTTTCTGCAGGTGGTTCACCTCAGGATGCTGAGGACGTCAGATCCAGGACTCTTCACAGATGGGATTTCAGGGCTGCACAGAAAAAAAAGATAATTAATGACCAAGAAATGTTGAACAGCATGAAGTGCTTTTCTGTAGCTACAGCACAACTTCAAATATCATCTTTCACACACAAACTAAACAAGCAGCCAATCAGAAAAACTCTTTACCAGAGGTGTTAAAGTAATGAAGTACAAATACTTTGTTACATAAGAAGAAATTCTGGGTATCTATGCTTCCTTGGAGTAATTATTCTTCATCAGACTTTTTATTTCTACTCTTTACTTTAAAAAAGATAAATGTGAATTTAATTGTGGTTGGAAGAAAAGAGTAAATATAAATATTCTGAAACCCTATTGGTTTGTATGATCCATCACAACTGCACTACACAAAACACGTCACACTTCTGCAGGACTCAGACGTAAGTAGCCCAATATGAGAGATATATATGTGACCCATCATATCGAAATATGATGATGATAAATATTTTTTCAGGTTATTGGATTTAAAAGCTACATTTTGATACCTGGATCATTCTGATGTCATTATTAAATCCATATGTATGACTT